ATACATATATATGTTTTAGGCAGAAGAAATAAATCCTCCCGCTCCCCCCTCAAAAAAGACATCCACATCATAATCCTGGAACACGTGAAAATGACATTATATAGTAAAAGAGATAAATATAAAATACTACTACCTTATTAGGTAAAATCAATTTTAAACTAAATCTAATTGCAGAGATAATCAAATTAAAGATCTTGAAATGGGGAGATTATCCTGGATTATTCAGGTTGGCCCTAAATGCAATCACATGTAGTAAAAGGAGGTAGAGGAAGATCTTATGAACACCGGAAAATGTGAAGACAAAGCAGAGAGACATTTGAAGATGCTGACCTTGATCATTGGAGTGCTGTAGCTACAAGTAAAGGAATGCCAGTAGTTACTGGAAGTTGGAAAAGACAAGAAACAGCTTCTCCTCTAGAGCAGCTAGAGGGACTATATCCCTGCCAGCACCTTGATTTTAGCCAAATAATGCAGAGTTTGGACTTCTGACTTCCAGAAATGTGAGATTCTGAAGGTGAAAGGGTATCTGGTTTCTGGCAGATACCTGGCTAACTCGTTGGCATGATTACTCAGAACAGAGTAACCGTCATTCAAGAACCATGGACAGACTACATTTTAGGAGAATCTGGCTGAAGAAGTCCATATAGAGAATAGACTGGAATTTGCTGCTGCAAAGTGAAAAAAAAAAAAGCCTACTTACAGCAGTGATATTCAGATTGCTAACAATAGTTCTCTCTCTAATATTAGATTGGAAAAAAACTTCTGTGAGGATTGGGACGGAGTCCTGAACACATTTTAGCCAACCTGTAAAATCAGAAGATGTACATAAAATTGCTTCCCTCTCAGAACTGCAGAATTCCAAGGAATTACCTAGAAAAATTAAGTATACCTTTGTGGATGGTGAAACCAACATAGCAGTGGAATGCTGGCAGAGTAAAATCCTTACAACTTTCAGCTATGAAAGAGAACCTAGATCACCCATCCTAAACCCTTCATTGTACAGATGAGAAAACCCAGCAGATTTTTCAACTCAACTTTGGATAGATACATACTAGTGGCCAGGTGCACAAAATTCATGCATGGGGGTTGGGGGGGGGAGTCCCTCAGCCCAGCCTGCACCCTTTCCAATCGTGGACCCGGCAGTCAGACATCCCTCTCACAATCTGGGACCACTGGCTCCTAACCGCTCCCCTGCCGGCCTGATCACCCCCAACTGCCCTCCCCTGCTGGCCAGATATCCTCCAAGGCTTTTATTAGTATAGATATGACCCTTCACAGAAAATTTCACTAACCCTGCTTTGCAATAAGGGCTTGACGATTGAATCAATAGGGCCAGACACCAAGATTTCCTTTCTTTGAATAGTGGAGGGAATAATTATCTTGTCTTTAAGTTGCCCTGAACACCAAATGAGATAATGACTTAGAAAAGCATAAAAGCACCATATAAAGACAACTGTCTTTTTCATGTACTGAAAAGACAATAAAGTGGTAAAATGAAAAACACTATTTTTATTCTCCCCCTTCCTTCCTTTACAGCCTTTATTTAAACTTTGAAATTTAGAAAAATTTCACTCCTATTTTCATTTCTTTACATTCAATATTATTTTGTATTAGTTTCAGGTTTTATATTAGTT